TTAATCTCAAAGATTAACTTATTAACTCGTTTAATGGAGGTGCAAATATGAATTTGTACAATGAGAAAGTCATTGTTAACACACTGTATGATGCAATAATACTTGGTTTAGCACAAAGTGTGTATATTACACTTTCATCACACCATGTGCAACAGTAAATGTGATTTTCTTGCAGGAAAGCTGTGTACAAACGATTCAACATGTTTCAGTTGTGTCACAGGTAATCTGACTCAGTCACAACTCCTGGAATGTAGAAGAAAAAAAAGTAAGTAGCTCGAGACATTCACTTACTCACAGGTGAGTAGCTTCAGATATTGAACAAACACTCAGCTGAGTAGATTCAAACCTTCATCTCAGATACAGTCCAAAATACTCAACTGATGAATAGTTCAGAAGATTTAAACATTTACCTGACAGGAATTCACCACTTCGTTGCTGCAATAATAATTATGATAAAAACATAATATATATATTATATATTATATATTATATATATAATATATATATTATATATTATTATATATATATATATATATAATATATATTTTATTTATAATATATTATATATTAATTATATATTATATATATATATATATTATAATATATATATATATATATATATATATAAAATATATATATATGTATATATGTTTAATTATTATTTTTTATTATCACACGGGGCCGATTCCCACCTAGGCAGGGTGGCCCGAAAAAAAAAAAAACTTTCACCATCATTCACTCCATCACTATCTTGCCAGAAGGGTGCTTTACACTACAGTTTTTAAACTGCAACATTAACACCCCCCTTCAGAGTGCAGGCACGTACTTCCCATCTCCAGGACTCAAGTCCGGCCTCCGGTTTCCTGAACCCCTTCATAAACGTTATTTTTGCTCCCCATCCAACAGCACGTCAAGTATTAAAAACCATTTGTCTCCATTCACTCCTATCAAACACGGTCACGCATGCCTGCGGGAAAGTCCAAGCCCCTCGCACACAAAACCTCCTTCACCCCTCCCTCCAACCTTTCAAAGGCGACCCCTACCCCCCCTTTCCCTTTTCCACTACAGACTGATACACTCTTGAAGTCTTTCGTTTCGCTCCATTCTCTCTACATGTCCGAACCCCCTCAACAACCCTTCCTCACCCCTTTTGGGCAACCAGTTTTGGTAATCCCGCCCTCCTCCTAACTTCCAAACTACGAATTCTCCGCTTTTATATCACACCACACGTTGCCCTCAGACATGACATCTCCACTGCCTCCAGCCTTCTCCTCGCTTTCAACATTCATCACCCCACGCTTCACACCCATATAAGGCGTTGGTAAAACTATACTCTCATACATTCCCCTCTTTGCCTCCAAGGACAAAGTTCTTTGTCTCCACAGACTCCTAAGTGCACCACTCACTCTTTTTCCCTCTCAATTCTATGATTTACCTCATCTTTCATAGACCCATCCGCTGACACGTCCACTCCCAAATATCTGAATACGTTCACCTCCTCCATACTCTCTCCCTCCAATCTGATAAACCAATCTTTCATCACCTAATCTTTTTATCCTCATAACCTTCTCTTTCCTGTATTCACCTTTAATTTTCTTCTTTTGCACACACTACCCCAAAATTTATCACCCAAACTCTGCAACTTCTCTTCAGAATCTCCCCAAAAGCACAGTGTCATCAGCAAAGAGCAGCTGTGACAACTCCCACTTTGGTGTGATTCTTTATCTTTTAACTCCACGCCTCTTACCAAGACCCTCGCATTTTCTTCTCTTGCAACCACATCTATAAATATATTAAACAACCACGGTGACATCACACATCCTTGGGCAAAGGCCTTCTTGTACTGGGAAAAATTTTCCCCCTTTCCTACATACTCTAACTTGAGCCTCACTATCCTTGTAAAAACTCTTCACTGCTTTCAGTAACCTACCTCCTACACCATACACTTCCAACCTCTGCCACATTGCCCCCCTATCCACCCTGTTTATACGCCTTTTCCAAATCCATAAATGCACAAAGACCTCTTGAGCCTTATCTAAATACTGTTCACTTATAATTTCACTGTAAACACCTGGTCCACACACCCCCTACCTTTCCTAAAGCCTCCTTGTTCATCTGCTACCCTATTCTCCGTCTTACTCTTAATTCTTTCAATTATAAAATCTACCATACACTTTACCAGGAATACTCAACAGACTTTTCCCCTTTTAATTTTTGCACTCTCTTTTATCCCCTTTGCCTTTTAAAGGAACTATGCTGCTCTCTGCCATTTCCCCAGGTACCTTTTCCCTTTCCATACATTTATTAAATAATTGCACCAACCACCCAAAATTATATACCTACCTGCTTTTAACATTTCTATCTTTATCCATCAATCCCGGCTGCCTTACCCCCTTTCATTTTACTAATGCCTCACGAACTTCCCCCACACTCACAACTGGCTCTTCCTCACTCCTACAAGATGTTATTCCTCCTTGCCCTATACACGAAAACACAGCTT